ATTAAGACTCATAGTGACCCAATGTGATGATGTAGAACTGCCCCATAAAATTTTCTAGGCTGTAATCTTTATGGGAGCAGATCATCAGGTCTTTCTCTCCCTGAGCCTCTGCTGGGTTCTAACTGATAACTTTTTGGTTAGCAGCCAAGTGCTGCCACAGGGATGCTTTCTCTTAAAATTGTTGTTGCCATGCGCTTTCTAGTGATTCTGATTCATAACAACCTTATAGGATAGAGTAGAACTGCTCCATAGGGTTTTCTAGGTTATACTTTTTATGGAGGAGCCTTGATGGCACAGTGGTTTAGTGTTGTGCTGTTGAACTAAAGTTTGGTGGTTTGAACCCACCAGCCTGTCCATGGGATAAAGATGTGACAGTCTGTGTCTGTAAATATTACAGTATTGAAACCTTAGGGGGCATTTCTACTCTGTCTGATAGGTTTGCTTTGAATCAAAATCAACTTACCAGTAGTGGGAATCTTTACTAGAGCAGACTGCCAGATCTTTTTTCCCATGCAGCTGCTGAGGGGTTTGAACCATCCACCTTTTGGTTAGCAGCTAAGCACTTAACCGTACATATAAAATTCAGGGGATTTCTATGATGTCAGTGAAGACTAGATGACTCGTAGTTATGATAATGTCACAAAGTGGACTAGAAACAGAAGAAAGCCTCAGAACAGAGAAGGAACAAAAAACAGTATTTGCCAAAGAAGTGAAAATGCTTCATAAAATGCTTTGTCATTCTGGCCTTTGTTATGAGAGCTTTTGCAGCCTTCTTGGCAACCACTCAAAACCTTATCTAACTATCCCAGTAGTAGGATTAAATAGGTGCTAAGATCTTTACCCAAAAGCCACTCCTCAGAAGGAAGGTTGGGCAATCTACTTCCATAGTGATACAGCCTCAGAAACCCAAGGAGGGGTTGCTATGAGTTGGATATGACTCAAGGGCAGTGAGTAAGATCTTCCCTAAGGAGCTTTGGTGGTGTACTGCCTAAGGCATTTGACTGCTAGCCAGAAGGTTGGTGGTTCAAACCCACCAGCTGCTCTCCAGAAGGAAGATAGGGTGGCAGTCTACTTCCATAAAGATTTACCTCCTCAGAAACCCAATGGGGGTCACTATGAGTTGGAATCCACTCAGTGGCAGTGGATTCAGTTTGGTTTTGAAGATCTTATGATCTCTTCTTAGCAACTCTGTGCTAAATCTGTTTTAAGTTTGTTCTGACTACCATTTTCTTAATAACCATAACTCTGAATCATTTGTAAATAAATTAGTTTTGTCACCAAAGTCCAACTTCCATGTTGCAATTATCTACACTCATATGTACCTCCAGAAAGGAAATATGTTTAAATGACTTTTGGGTTCCAAGGGTTTCCAGGAAAAATTTATATCAAAAAGTGCAGAATACTTTGGTTAACAAAACATTAATCAAGTATTGATATGGTACCAATACACAAAGACCATTAAAAATGACAAATAATATGTAAACTATACCTAGCATCCCTTCCTTCATCTCTATTCTGGCATAAAATTCTTAATAAAAGCCCCAAGGAGATCCTAGGAAGGAATGTTGTAACTCCAATATTTCCAGAGAAAACTAGAAATAAGTGGTGACTAACATGTCATGGTTATGTGTATGTATATGAACGTAATATATTCATAGACCCCAGACTTGTATAAAACCCATGTCTAGTATAAATAATTCTACTTCAACATTCATATGTGTCAGTGTTTTTAACAAGACCATTAAAATTTAATTCATTCACATATTTAGACTTCCCTTTCTTTTATTCCTTTATACATTCCTTTTTTTTCAATTAATATTTGTTAAGCTATTACTATGGTTAGGAGCCCTGGTGATGAAATGGTTAAGAGCTTGGCTGCTAACTGAAAGGTTGGTGGTTGAACTCATCATCTGCTCTGTGGGAGAAAGATGTGGCAATAAAGATTTAATCTTGGTAACCCCCTGGGCAGTTCTATCTGTCCTATATGGTTGCTATGAGTCAGTATTGATTCAATGGCAATGGGTTTGATTTGGTTTTTTTATGGACAGGTTCCTTAAAAAGCATTGTAGTAAATAAAGTTAAGTTGGTCTATGACTTCCTAGAGTTTATAGTCTAATAGAGAAGACTAAATATATAATGACAATTTGCAATTTGAGATCGCTGTCATCACCAGTTGCCATGGAGTCAATTCCAACTCATGATGACTCCATGTGTATGGAGTAGTACTGTACCCCATAAGGTTTTCAAGCCAGTGACCTTTGGGAATCAGATCACAAGGCTTTTCTTCTGAGGTGCCTTTGGATGGGTTTGAACTGCCAACTCTTTGGTTAGCAGCTAAACTAACCATTTCCAACACCCAGGGACTCCAAATTTGGGATACATACCATTTAAGAATCAAGTGTATTTCCTGAAATAATGGGAAATTGTTGCTTCTTAGATGGGGTAGACAGAAAAAAAAAAGTAAAACCCCAGAAAGTTCTCTGATGAAGGGGGTAGGGAATACTTTTTAAACTGATAGTGATGTTAAGAGCCAGCCACAGAAGGACTGGGTAGATGAATATTCAGACAATCAGAATACCATGTGTAAATGCTTTTTACAGGAAAGAGCTTGGCATTCAAGAGGATCTCAAAAGAAGCAAGTGTCTCTGGAGCATAGTGAGTGAGAGAACATTGTTCTAACTACAGTGGGGTACTAAAAACAAAACCAAAAGTATACTATAGTGGGATATTGAAAACAAACCATAGTGGGATACTACTGAAGAAATTTAGGCAAAAAAATTTAATATGGCTCAATTTTTGTTGTGTAGAGATTACTGTAGTTTGTAAATGGAGAATTATTGGAGATGGTCAAGAACAGTAATGAGAATAAAAATAGGAAGGTCATTGCATCAAGCTAGTCAAGGTATGATAGTGGTAGTACATTGAGAAAAAATGGAGAGATATCAGTGTATCATGGAAATAAAGTCAACAAGACATGTTGCTAGATTGGATATAAGATAATAGAGAGGGAAGATTAAGAATTAAGCAAATTGGGATGGAAGTAAATATGTTTGGGTGTAGGAAGGAAGACAATTAATAATTCAGTTTTGTATATATTAAGTTTGTGATGTCTATGAGACATCCAAATAGAGAAGGTGGGTAAGAAGTTAGATAAAAGAATGTGGGGCACAGAGAGTTTGAACCTTTAGACTGGAGATAGAAATTGTTGTTGTTGTTGTTGTTGTT